TCACTCGTGGAATCTTACTGTAAACAAGGGCACAATCTTCACACAAAATAATAAAGTCTAATTAGGCAGGAGGAATGGATCCGTACAAAATCTAGCCTTGGTACACCCTGCTACCCAATGCCGTTTATTTATACAAGTTTAGAGCAATTTACTGTTCTTATGCCTTCTCCAAAGAACAGAGTGCTCTTTTTGTGCAAACAATGCCTTTAAACAAAAGTCTTAAGCAGCCCATTCACACTTACAGTCTTTATATATTTGAGAAGGAAAGGGGTTGTGGGAGGGGGGAGGAAGATTAAAAATAAGTTCTTGGGTTTTTGATCACAAGGCCCTGGTCCATTAACGGATGTGTGCCATCTCTTCCAGGAATGGCGTTTTCATACAACCAGTGCAGAGTTGGTCCATCCATAGCGGAGCCTCGTGCTGTAGTGGAGTACGACGTGGGAAGAACCTATAGTTCAAGTCATAGTTGAGGAGGCAGCTGATTGAGGCCATGTAGAGATCAGAGAAACGGCAGAGACGGCGAGAGAAATAGGTTGGGTTGTGGCAAGTCCGGAAGATGCTGCCAAATTGAGGGTTGAACAAGTTCTTTGTCATAACTCTGAAAAAGAAAATTAACATGTCATGTCAATAATGAAAGGCGACCAGACTTTACAGTGTTACTCCACCACCATGACCACTTCTAAAATCAGAAGTGGTCACGGTGGTAAAAGTCTTATGTTCAAGGTTTCACCTTAAAATACTGCACAACCAGACATTTGCATTTATGTGACAGGGAAAGTTGCACCTCTGGTGCATGTGACTCATTTTATATAGCGCCAAATTCTGTACCACTGTACAATGTCATCAGCTTACACAGAATTCCTGGCTGACGAATACATTTTGTACAGATTTGATCTTTAACAGGCAGGTATAAGTGTATCTTCATCCCTTGCCTTTTTTAAGTCCCCACTACCTAGATCAATATATTTAAAATCCCCAGCCATTTCATTTAAAGGGACACTAGTCACTAGAACAACTACAGCTTATTGTATTTGTTCTGCCGAGTATAATCATTTCCTTCAGGAATTTTCATGCAAACCCTATCTTTTCAGAGAAAATGCAGTGTTTACATTGCCCCCTAGGCTACTATTCAGATGGCCATGAGGTGCTTCTTGGGACAGTGCTAGTGTGCAGCACTACCATTCAGAGTCTCCACGCTGGACTTCTCAGATGCATCTCTATAAGGTGCTGTTTGGCCAAAACTGCGTTTGGCGCTGACCTATCCCACTTCCTTGACAATTTCAGACAATCCAATGCTTGCCCTGTGGGAAAGCATTGGATTGGCTGAAATCGTAAATTCTAGTGTCAACAAGGAGGCAGATTGGGGCAGGGCCAGCAGAACTGTGCAGCGCTGGGAATAGGGCAATTGTTATTAACTTGAAGGGGGGGCCAGCAACCTAAATGAGAAGAAAAGGTTAGAGACCAGAGGAATTTCTCTGTGCTGACCTCTAAACCTGCATACTGAAGTGTTTTAAAAACTAATTTCTGGCATAAGCAGAATTTCAGTATGCTCAATTTAGGAGACCCAGGCCTTGATTTAATCTTTTTGAGCAAGCTTTTCAAATTTCTCAAAAATATTACAAATACGAATAGCAAAAGTTTAATACGTTAGTCTGTAAAAAGTTTTCACATCTATTTAAAAAAAATTTATAATATATATATATATATATATAATGGAGGCCCAAGTTAGAGGCTTGTAGAACGCCTGTGAGATTCTAACCTTTTTCCTGCAATCTGTAGGACAGCCTGCCTGCCTCACCAGTCAGTTGGTAGCTGGTCTGTTAGGAACACTGCCAGCCAAAGATCAATAGTTTGAGAAATGTAAGCAGCAAAAATGGGTTCCGAATCAGTGTACAGTTACATCGCTATTTAACTAGAGTTGGACTTCATAGCTTTCCTTTAGAAGTTTACTTTTAATTTACATACTCTGCCCCACAGTCATTTAAAGCGGAAAGGCTTTTTGGCAAGCAAGATCCTTTAACCCCTTAAAGGACCACTATACTTCATTAAGCTGAAGTGGTCTGGGTGCCTACAGTGGTCCTTTAAGGACACATGACGTGTGACATGTCAGGATTCCCTTTTATTCCAGAAGTTTGGTCCTTAAGTAGTTAAAATGTTCTTCCCAAGTGGCAGTACTTTCCGAGGAAAACCTATTTTCATATCACAATTTGCAGCTCACAGAATTTTTCCAAGTATCCTGTGTTTGAGATGTTTCAGAAGGACAAACTGGGAAAGCACAGACAGCAGCGTTCGAGTTCTTTAACATAATGTTTGCAGTTGACTGTGTTTAGTGACTGATTGATGGGAAGTTAATACATCTCCCCTCAGGGCAAACATCTTCCCAGGAGGCTCTCACACCGGAGGTTGTATAACTCACCAGACCGATAATCTAGAAGCTAGTGTAGCAAACATATGTAGAAAATTTAAATGAAAAATAAAAAGTAATTTGTACCTGAGCTCATTTCTCTCCTTCATCCAGTCCTTAAGGATTTTCTGAGACTCTGGATCATGAAAGTTCTGCAAGGAACAAAAACAAGTCAAGTTAAGAATGCTATGGCATTTCTTTTGAGGTAGTTGGTTAAGATGCAGTCAATCCAAACCATGAAGTAACAACTAGAATGAATATTAACTGGTTTAAAAAAAAAAAAAAAGGCGACTTTGCATTCCCTTAGAGGGATTTCCCAGATGTCTTCAAATTAGGGAGTGCTGTAGGCTCCCAGTCATTCCCTGAATATGCACAGAGCATTTGGAGATAACTGCCTCATACTTTTACAGATCAACTAATGTGCAAACAAGCCTTTGAGTATTTTGCTGAATGTTGAATCTTGGAATTTTTAAACAGACTAGTATTGATGCCTGGAGTGTCCTTTTCTTTAAAGCTATGGCATTAGACATTTTACTTGTAGAAGCACCTGTGTTCATCAATATCAAACTAGGATAAAGATGCACAACCCAGTGGCAGAAACCCACCTGCATGCGCTCCAGGAGTCCAGTGAGGGCCTGCAGCCAGGTTAGTGACTGCGAGTACTGCTCCGTGTTCACAATCTTAGTTTCAGTCTCCAGTTCTGGGACTATGGCTCCGGTCCTCCAGCCATGACGGAGCATGAGGTCCTAAAGTAGAAAGGAGAGCGTACAATGGTGAGATTGAATATCAGATTTAAGGTAACAAGCCAGGTGACAAGCCTTACTTACTGCAAGGTCACTGTACAAATGGTCTCCGAAATACAGCACTTTAGACCCTCGCCAGCCTGTCAGTCGCAGGAAGTCAAACAAGTTACCCTGGAAGAATACAAGATAAAAAGTGTGGCCCTTCAATTGCTGCAGATAACCAAGTGTTCAGATCAGTTTCCTATTGTACAGGTTTGGAAAAGCAACATTCTGGCACTCCTAGTGTTAACCATGTGTGGTCAACAAACCCCAGCAGACAACTGGAACCAGTAGGTTTCCTCCAGGCCTGCAATAGATTCCGCTGCTCTTTATGCCATGTCATTATCTCCTTCCTGAACTTTCATATGCTTAGATTGAGTCAAGTGTTTAAATGTGTTTAGTCTGACAAAGTGCAGGATTAAGAAGAGGGGGAGGAAGGTGGGGTCTTTAACAAGGAGGAATCATTTTTAAACCATTCTAGTTGGACAAACCTGGTTAGAATTGACAAGCAGCATATAAGATATCAGCCCAAACTAGTGGCAGGTCTTTAATCTTAAGTGGAAGCATGGCTTTGTTTTTCCCTTCTAATGCCATCAATCCTCCCACAAATAAAGGTCCTGGACAATCTTGGTAGATTGCACATGGAAAGTGTACTTTAGATGACACTTTACATGATATCAATGCACAGATATCGTTGCCAACAGAACAATGCCAAAAAGTGTACCCATTGATACCATAGAGATCCAGGATTTCATACACAGCAAGGAGGAACTACAATATCAACATCAATTATACGCGTTTCTAGAGATTCCTAAACTTTAATGGCTTTTAGATCATACACTGAAACAAAGTACTCAATAAAAGGATAGTGTGGAAATGTCAGTGATCCAATCATATAACATTATAAAGATCAGCCACTCATTGCAATCCTCAGTTGTATATTTCAGATTATTGCCTGCAATGAAGGGGAGAGGAGGTCTTTCTCCCCCCCTGCCCTCAGGAATAAATTCCAAATTTAATCTAACCTATAAAAGGGCATACGTATTAGGTTTGTTTTTTTTTTAATTTAATTTAAAATCAAAAGTGAAGGCTGCTTGTGTTGATGGAAGAAATATCATTGATCAGTTATAGATCAGTGCTGTAATTAGTGAAAGACAGGAGCATGGTATGGTCATAGCAATCTGAGTAATCAAGGTCATTGTACAGGAGGGCCAGCACAGCTGAGTGATGGAATACAGAGAACTGGTCAGCAAAGCTTTGAATTTGAAGCCTATGGGAGATCATGATTTGACACAGACTGTAGTTTAAACAAAGCCATTGTTAATCAGGCCTGCATGGGAAGCACGTAGACACAGAGAGGCAATGTACGTGGAATTTGGCAGTTGGGTCACAGGGCAAAAGATCAGCATGCTTCAGGGAAAAGTCTCCTCTCCCCCTCTCCTCCCCCCATGCATTAATAATTGTCCTGTACATAAACATCTCTGCACACTTTCACCAATATAAATCCACAAATCCTTTCAAAAGCACCCGAGGCTAGAGTGATTGTGTTCATAGAACATGACAAGCTGCAAGGATGCTTGGCAAACTCCTCACGTACAGAGACAGACACTGACTCTTTGTGAGCTGCATGAAAGACAGTACACTGCTGCACCTACACGACGACGCTCTGTATTGACAGAACCAAGATCTGCTCGATTAAAACCGACACATTTTAATAAACATTTACCTATTTAAACCAAATTTTAAAGTGAGTTGGGGGTTGAGAATAGTTTACACAATGTCAATCCAGTGCCCCCATACATGCTGTGATAAAGGGTTAACGTTTGGAGAGGGCTAAAGGATCTTGTGTGATTTGTGGCAAAGTATCTTTCTAAAAGCCAAGAACATGTACCAGGGGAACACACGCCCACAGACTAAATCCTTACAGTTTTGGATACAATCCAGCTTTCCCAATGCATCTTAACCCTCAGGGACCAAAGACATTTTTAAATGAAGACTGGATATAGAATGGCAAATTCACAGAGCCCCTAGTTTCCTGCTTATTAAGGAAGAGGTGAACGTGCGTTGTCTGGCTGTGCAGGATACAAGATTGAGTCAGGAACGTGATTTGTTTTCTTCAACTCTATTTGGAATAATATAGTTCAGCTCACACTGTAGGCAGTACAGCCTGTGACAACGTAGCTTTCTGGCACCAAGTGACTTCAAATAAGCTGAAATGGGAAAAGTCATGACAGTTTTATAGTGTATTGTGGAATATTTCTTCCCACTAACACAAGGCTCCTTGCATCAGACTCAAAGCTCACCAAAACTGCCCTGCAGGTTTATGGAAACTAAACACTTACAGCAGCTTTACACAAATTATTTTCATCCAAGATTTAAGAAAAGATCGGAGGAGCCGGTTACATACTATTCGTACCTGTTTATAAACCTGTCCCTTTTCCAGCTTAGTAATCCGGTCCCATTTCAGATCTCCATTCCCATCCAGTCGACGGAAAGGCCTGTGGAGTGAGAAATATGTAATATGGTAAACGCAGACAGACCTTTAAAATAAATTCATTCTTTTGAACAAAAATTTGTCAGAATGGACAGTGTAGGGGCGGGGGAGTTGGACGGGGAAGCTGCAGGATACAATATTCTGTAGTGAGTTTTTGCATCCTAGATGGGAGACAGTCATTTATATAGTGTTAACATATATAGTTATGCTTCACATTATAAAGGGGTATATTTAACCATTGAGGAGTAACAAAACATCACAGGAGTAGGTTGATTAGGACCCTGCTCAAGCGAGCTTACAGTTCCATTAATCATGCTACAGGATTTGTATAATTTGAGGTAGAACTGTCATTGATACATTAAACTGTTTTAGTCCATACAGCCCATTACTAAACCCCATGCTATATAATGCCAGATTGCAATGCGTGCTGGGAAGAGTTTGTATCAGGCACTGTGCAAACGAAAAAAAAAAAAAAACTACACGTCAGACTGTAGAAGTGTGACAAAGTAAATGGTCTTGGCTCGGTGTATAGATTACACCTTAGCAGCCTGCCAAAACAGCACTCCAAAGCATCCCAGCAATCAGTGAAGTCTAACAGTAACTTAGACAGCCATTAATAGAGTGCTAGCTATTAAAGCACCAAATATGACTGGCACCAGTTACTGGAAAGAAGAAAGATTTTAAATGTCTCAATTCAAGAAAACAAATCCTGCATATATTGGGCACGCCATACTCCAAATATTGTTACAGATTCCATTTCTTATGGAATATTTTAGACCAGTGAGATGTGGATCTGCAATAGCTAAGCAGAGGGATACATAGGCTCTGGGACAACATCCCGATTTTAGGATTATATGTCAGCTTAATGGTTTTAGTATGAAGCATCACTAAAGCAGATATTACCGTCATCTCACGAACATCCTAAACAAATGCTCACAGTGCCAAGAGTATATTTGATACAAGCAGCTAATCGACAACGACATCCCGTTAACAATCCAAATAAAAATTCCTGGCAGCAACTGTGAATTCTGTACTGGTTGCTACTAGGGGGCAGAAGGTATAGGCTTGTATAACTAGATTAATCTGACATGACAAGGATGATTGGTATCTTGAAGACAATGATAAACTCGCAAACAGGAACATGTTTAATTACAGAGTGACATTCGCAGCTTTACTACAGCGAATGGAACTCAAACTGGAATTAAGCTTCATGTCCCCAAAGGCTAACATAAGGTTAGCAGCAAATAAGGAATTCAGGACTGTTGCAAAACAAAAAAAAACAAAAAAAAAAACAAAAAAAAAAAACAAATAGAGTTTTCTGTATAGTGTCTTAACGGTCTCCATGGCAGAGATCACCAGTTGATAAGTATCACCCAAGAATGCTAGTAGGGTCAATGTTTACGCCAAATTGTTATTTAACGTGTGATAAAACACCAGTCAATCTTGATCCAGTCAGACAAGGTTTTTGTAGAGAGTGGAGGACATTCATCTACCAGTGGAGATTGAAGGCTGCTCAGAGTAAACACGCACTCCCCATTGGTCAGTAAAATACTGGCTTGTTTGCCATAACACAGCTTGCTTACTTAATGCTGTCGTTGAAGAAGTGTGGCTTGTCTGCCTGGACGATCACCACATCAAAAAAGTCCCTCCAGTCCTTGCCCACCATGTAGTTCATGCCTTTGTCTCTGTGAAAGGAGAAAGGGGTTTCAGGTTACAGTTTTCTGGTGAATACTATATACACAATCCATGTGAACATATGTTCTGATTTTCACACCACCTTTACTTGCAATGGTCTCTACATTTAAGGATGTCAAAAAACAGGTGGGGCTGTATCCGGGTGCAGATGTTGAGAAGCTATGGTTTAGAACCAGTTAGAACCTGTGATGTGCAGAGTTGAGCTGATAGGCCCCAGGATTCCATCATGCAGGAAATAGATTTTGTCCTGCAATATAGGAAGCTCCAAGCATACAGCAAAGCTTACTAGAAAGCATTATATAGATTTTGTAAGATTTGGTATCACTACTTTGAATCTTCTGATAATGCACAATACCCTGGCTTACCCAAATTAAATCCAGGAGAATTTAACTGAATATTTGCAACCGGTCAGAAAAAGATTAGCAGATCAACATTATGCAGTTTATGTTAAATAGTGCCATAAGAAAATACCTGGAGATGCACAAGTCATGGAATATTTATGTGCCATGAGCACTGTGTTGGGAATCACGGCTTAGATTACTGCGTCAAACGCTATATAAATGGCTAGTTCTTTGTAAATTAAAAGATGTCAGCAGTAAGATAGCTCAGTGGAAGTGGAACTAGCATAATAGTAAGTTTACCCTTCTGGTTAAAGAAACAAGCACTATAACCACTGCAGTGTGCTATAGCAGTTACACTGTCAGGGTTACTATGGCTCTCCCTCCCCCTGTGTGAGGAGTCAGACTGTTTTAGAACAGTTTGACTTCTCACCTGGGGTCCATTGGTTGCCGCTCCTTATACAGATCAGAGAGGGTTAAGCTCGGCACCCCTAGGTTTGGCTCAGTGAATACAGCTTGTGGCTCTGCATCTGTAGTGAATGCAGAGTGTGGAGCCCAATAGACCAAGACAAAGTTTCTTCATGCATTATGTCTGCTCTGCTGAATGCAAATGTCAGTGACCTTCCTCATTCTTTTCACCCCTCCGGTTTTTGAGACATCTGACGAAGGTGTCAGAATGCAGTTTAGAAATCATAACTAGCATTGCAGTGATCTACTGAATAGAAGAAAAAATAAATCTTACACAAAGCTAAATGGACTGTTTGTGATGAGGAAAAGCTTCTTCCCATGGTTAGCCAGACGCTGCAGCACTGCATAGGTTTCCTCACCACGTATAATGTATTTTTCTACAAAAAAAAAAAACAAAAACAAACACAATTAGAGACAGTAGAACAGAACACCGTTTAACTGTTAACCTAAAATAAAGGCGAAGGGCTTTCTAGAGGGACACCCCAACCCAATTTTATTTTAGACACATTGTAACATGATACTTTTAGTTCTATTCACTTCCCCTTTGACCATGTTACAGTTTGTTGGCATTTAAAGGGTTAAACTGCACTTGGAGAAAATCTGAAAAGCAAACTTTGAAAAATAACCATGCATTCATGGTGTAGGGGGAAGGATGTACAGGGTACAGGACCCTTCGCCTAACAGGTTTGGCAGATTTACACAGAGTCAAGAATGGAGAGGTTCCAAGTGACCGACAAAAACGTGAGGAAAGCTTGCATTTTAACATGCCATACACACTGTTTATACAAGCTCTACGCACGCAGGTTTACACAGCCAACCGTACGCCTAAATGGGACTGAAGGCTTTAATATAGAGTGAAGAAAAAAAAAAATTTAAGCATTTTACAAGATAGATCAAATAAAATAAGTCAGTCCTTTGTGGGAGACTGTCCACTGCCATTTTTCATGTATCCAGGTTGAATGACCGTGTGCTTTGCAGATTTATCTTTGTTTTATCACACTTTAATAGAGGCACTGAAATACATGTACATATGTTGGAGGAAAACTGGCATGCATAGTTGCAGATAAATGCAGTTTAACAGCGTGTGAAATAATGCCTATGTGAAGATGGACAGCTGCCTTGATAATATTACATTCAGTTGGTCATAACTGTGCTAGTAAAAAAAACCTACACAAAGTCACGGTATGGGGAGACAAAGTTAAAAATGGTAGCGGCTGCGCAAGGGACTTCTAAAATATTCGCCATATACTCTTTACAGTTTAGAGCTACAGAAATTACAGGATTCCAGCGATGAACGCAAGTTAGTAATATACAATTTATATTCAAATTGCACATTTATTTCCAGGTTGAAGGAGGAAGAACACAACCCTAGAACAAGTGACAGTACAGTTAGTTTATTTGTACACTCAGGGTAGCTCACAAAGGCAATTCACATCCACAGATCTACCCGAATAGAGAATGCATGAGTGTTAAAGTTCTGTTACCTACACTCCAGCAGTTATACCATGCCCCCAAGTGCTCACTCAAAGTGGACATGTGATTTGTTTTAGGGTAGGGCTTGTATGCCTTGCGTTAGGAATGCAGAGAAAAACAAACTTGCTTAGATCCAACAGACCCTTTAACTGATGACAAGTACAACCCCAAAGGCTTAAGGGGGTGATCCTCTAGGTCAACAAGACAGTCACGTGCATGTACTGCTAAAAGGGAGTATTGTTTGGTGTACACAGCATAAAGACTACCATCCCCTCCCCCAATAGGTTTTTTTCACAAGGTTCACAGGACTACTTGGCATGTTGGGAAGAAGAAAGTACAGCCAAACAGCTAGGGAGAGGTGCTGCTTCACGATTTGCCAAATACACTGCCACGTCTTACAAAAAAAATTTAAACAAAAATTTATAAGCAAGCCTGCTTGACTCACCAAGATCTTGCATAATCCATTTGTACATGAATCCTTTAACATGTACATCTCGAACTGCATCCTTAGAGAAGAAAAAAAAAAAAAAAAAAGTTATAAACATTTTATTATAGCACAGCTAGTTTGGGGTTAAACAATCTATAGAATATATTCAACCAAAACACCCCTTAGCTCCTTTTACAGCATAGACGGTTAGTGGAAATAGTGCTATGTTTAAACTCATTTATATTTAGAAAGTTAATCCATTTTCCTTGCACTTTACATTTATAAATTGTAAG